GATCATTGCCTCCAAATTTAGTATTCCACTAAAATTAGATTGATTTAACGGCTGCTGTCTCGTTAATGAGCAAAAGTTTGCTGTCGTTTCACGTCGCCTCATAATTTTCCGCGGGTTTCCATGTGGCTTGGTTTTGCGGGTTTCGTTTTGCCGTCACCTCATTTGCCGCGGGTTTCCATGTGTACACCAGTTGCTATGGCAATTTGAAACAGACGAATACATATCTCTCGTTTCACCGCTCATAATTGCTCACAGAGACACAGCTTCTTATAGTTCACTCATAATTGCTCACAGAAACACAGCATCTTATAGAGTGAGTGCACACTAACAAGAAAGTGTGAAAAAAATCTGCATTTAATGCAGAAAAATCCAGCATTACTGTTTCATTTTCAAAACCTTTTCTCAGTCACATAATTTGCCTGCCTCATAATTTGCTTGCCTCATAATTTGCGTTGGCTGCCAGTTTTAACTCCTAGCTGCCAGTTTGAACAGAAAAAATTTTAACTGAGATGTTTGTCACTTTAAATAGACATACATGGCACTATTTAATGGTGTATGATATTGTCATATATATAATATGTGGGGAAGTTCCATATGAACTATCTTAACATGGTTGTTGTATATTACATGCACTAATTCACTTTTCTTCTTTTAGAGATTAATTACATTTAATGCATTTAACACTTTTGGGCTTTGTCCTTTTGATGATCACTTATATTGATGGCTCCTCGCTGTTCTAGTTGAAAAAGAGCAGTAAATGTATTTGGAACGCACTTGGAGCGTGTTTGGAACGCATATGGAACGCAAATGGAACGCGGAAGTGAAGGCAGACATCCACTTCCGGTTTCGGCTTTCACATTGAACGCGCCCTTTTTAAACTACCCAAACACTATCAGCTGGAGGACAATACCCCTGGATAGATGATTGGCTGGCTACTGGATACTCCTACACTATGGACCAATGGGACTTTGGGACTAGCCCTATATATAGAGATTCTGTTAAGGGGAAAGTAGGATGTTATTTTACAATCTATGATATTGTCTGTGATTTTTTTACTGTGCGGTCCCTGATGAAGTTCTAGTCTTGAACGAAACGCGTTGGACCTATTGCTGCACTTTTAAACCTTTATTCTTATGGTGCTTGTTCACCTTTTAAGAAAATAAAAGTATTGCTTTTCTACTATTACTTACCTGGAGTCCCGTGTTCCATTGGTCGCTTTACATCGGATAGGGGAAACCACTAGCCCCCTATGCTATCTGGGGAGGCACCCTATGAATGCTTTTTCATCTTCATCATCTTGTGAGTGCATCCATTTAAGCGCACTATTCACTGTATTTACTGTATCACACTATTGTGTTTTTTCCTTTATATGTTCCCTCTATAGATTGTACAGCCGTATCCCATTTCTGTCTGGGGTTCTATGCATATGTTAAGATCGTTTGTTGTGGATAACGATCCTGGGAGGCTGCATATTGATTGAAGTTAAGTAATTTATTTAATTAGAACACTTATCTAAAGGT